GATGAGATCATTTTGGATTACCCAGCTGTGTCTTAAATCAATGACAAATGTCCTTATAAGAGACAAGAAGAGGAAAAGGCACATGAAGGAGAAGGTAATGTGAAGATGGAGGCAGAGATTGGATTTATGTGGCCATAAGCCAAGGAAGCTGGCAACTAATAGAAGCTGTAAGAGGCAAGAATGGATTCTCACCAGATCCTCTGTGGGTATGTGGCCCTGCCAACACCTTAATTTTGAACTTCTGGCCTTTAGACTGTGACAGAATAAATTTTTTTTTTTTTTTTTGAGACAGAGTCTCACTTTGTTGCCCAGGCTAGAGTGAGTGCCATGGCATCAGCCTAGCTCACAGCAACCTCAAACTCCTGGACTCAAGCGATCCTCCTTCCTCACCCTCCCAATGCTAGCTGGGACTACAGGCATGCTACCATGGCCTGCTAATTTTTCTCTATATATTTGTTGGCCAATTAATTTCTTTCCATTTTAGTAGAGACGGGTCTCGCTCTTGCTCAGACTGGTTTCGAACTCCTGACCTTGAGCAATCCGCCCACCTCGGCCTCCCAGAGTGCTAGGATTACAGGCGTGAGCCACCAAGCCCGGCCAAATTTGTTGTTTTAAGCCACTAAATTTGTGGTATTTGTTGTGGCAACCACAGGAAACTACTACAGGTGAGTTGGGTATAGAATACAACATGGTGGAACTTTATCTTATATGGGTCTAGGAGTCAAATTATACATTTTTTTTCTTTTCTTTTTTTTTTTTTTTTCCTGCTTTGTTGCTGACAAATATACATTTTTTAAATAAGTATGTTAGGCTCACGCAAGACTCTGGGCACGGTAACTGGAAACACATCAGGAATGTCCTTTTCTTTAGGAATTATCTTCTTCCCATTCCAGCCAAAACTATATATAAACTGACTTTAAATTTGGTTCATTATTAATTACTTAGGAGTCCCTTCTCTTTAGCTATTACCACAAAATTTTGAGCTGTTGGATTCAGAATTCAGATTTTAATTTTGAATATATATAACAAGATAATACATTAGCTTAGTTCAAAAGACATTATTTTCCTGACATTACCAATTAGAAAATAAATGCCAATCTGCCACCACTGGGCTTCTTTTTTTTTTTTTTTCCCTTAATATATACATATTTCAGCGCGGCGCAGTGGCTAACACCTGTAATCCTAGCACTCTGGGAGGCTGAGGCGGCAGATTGCTCAAGGTCAGGATTCAAAACCAGCCTGAGTAAGAGCGAGACCCCTGTCTTTACTATAAATAGAAAGAAATTAATTGGCCAACTAATATATATAGAAAAAATTAGCCGGGCATGGTGGCGCATGCCTGTAGTCCCAGTTATTTAGGAGGCTGAGGTAGTAGGATTGCTTGAGTCCAGGAGTTTGAGGTTGCTGTGAGCTAGGCTGATGCCACGGCACTCACTCTAGCCTGGGCAACAAAGTGAGACTCTGTCTCAAAAAAAAAAAAAAAAAAAAAAAAAATATATATATATATATATATATATATACACACACACATACATATTTCTTTCAACTCATTAGGAACTCCTGACTCAGCTCTGTGGTAAACTTTATTCTATCTGGGGTAATGGAAGGGACTTAGAGCAGATAAACCAAAAAATAATTTATATTTGGCTTCATGTATATTAGAATACTCATATTTGAATATGTGTCTAAGGAATGATTTCAGTGCATTACTGTTTTCTGCTTCTAAACTAGTTCTCTAGGTGGTTTACACATCATACTGGTTTGTGTGAGCATGGTCAAGGTTATACCACAGATCTTCACATTGCCCACTTTTTCTCATCATTCTAGGCTCAGTTCAAATGCCACCTCTTCAAAGAGGTCTTTCCTGACCATCCCATTTAAAATAGTCCCCTACTATATTACTTCTTGTTCCCTTATTCTGTTTTTTTCTTCATATCACTTATTTACTTCCTTGTTTATTGTCTGTTTTCTTCACACAGTTAGAATTTAAGCTCCACGAAGACAGAAACTTTTGTCTTTTTTGTCCACTGCTGTATCCCTAGCACCTTTCTAACAGCTAGTACTTAGAAGGTACTCAATAAATATTTGTCAAGTCAACAAATGAGTGTATGAAAGAATCACAGGTTTGGGAATCAGAAAGTCCTAGGTTTAAATTACAACTCTACTCTTTTAGTGCATTTTGTTGGTAAGTTACTTAACCTCTCTGAGTCACAGCTTTCTTATCTCTGGTAAGTGGGGAATATCCATTTCAGTGTGTGATTGTGCAGATTAATGAAGGATCTATGTACAATGCAAGACAGAGTAGACTCTCAATATTGTTAGTTTCTTTTTTTCCACCTCCTCTGTATTGAGACTATATTAATATTATCCTTTCATATCTAGTACATACACTCCAACCAGAGAGAAATTTATCATGAAGCTAATGAAGTTTAAACTTCACAGCCCCTCACTTGTACAGGCCCCAACCTGGGAGTTATATAGGGGGAGCCAGTTACACTTTGGAAGCATTTCTACATAAGCATTTCTAATAAATAGCCTAAAGAAATCTCAGAAGAAAGGGTCCCAAATCTCCAAGTCTTGAGTCATTTGTTGTGATTATTTTCTCTACATTTTGTTGTTGTTTTTGTTTTAGATAGTGTCTGGCTCTATTGCCAGGCTAGAGTGCAGTCACATCATCATAGCTCACTGCAACATCAAACTTTTGGGCTAAAGCAATCCTTCTGCTTCAATCTCTTCAGTAACTGGGACTACAGGCACAGGCCACCAAGCCTGGCTAATATTTCTATTTTCGTAGAAATAGGATTTTTTTTTGTTTTTGAGACAAAGAGACTCACTTTTTTACCCAAGCTAGAGTGAGTGCCATGGCATCAGCCTAGCTCACAGCAACCTCAATCTCCTGGGCTCAAGCGATCCTACTGCCTCAGCCTCCCGAGTAGCTGGGACTACAGGCATGCGCCACCATGCCCGGCTAATTTTTTCTATATATATTAGTTGGCCGATTAATTTATTTCTATTTATAGTAGAGACGGGGTCTCACTCTTGCTCAGGCTGGTTTTGAAGTCCTGACCCTGAGCAATCTGCCGGCCTCGGCCTCCCAGAGTGCTAGGATTACAGGCGTGAGCCACTGTGCCCAGCCCTGAAATAGGGTCTTGCTATGTTCCTCAGGCTGGTCTTGAACTCCTGGCCTTAAGTGATCCTCCTGCCTTAGCCTCCCAAAGTGCTGGGATTACAGGTGTGAGCCACTGTGCCTCTAAATATTAATTTTAATTTGATTGCTAATCTTATATTCATAATTTGCATTCTATTTCTTAAAGGGGTCTCCCAAATTGTATGTTTAAGGCCCTACAAAACAGAATCCACCCTTGACCCATATATAGATTACATTAATAAATGGAGCATAAATGTATTCAGAAATTCTGCACTAATACTCAGAGGAGCTGCTACAAGGTGATCATCTAGTCTAGTCTGTGTTGGGACTAGTAACTTAAAGGTTTTTTTTAATTATTATTATTTTTTAAAATTTTATTTTTTTTCCTACTTCCGAAAGCAGAAACTTAAAGGTTTTTAAAACTATGTAGTTGCATATACCACCAGGAAGCTTGCAATAATTTAAAAAAATTATTTTCTTAATAGATTTTATTACCAGATTTTTTTTAAGACAGTCTCGCTCTGTTGCCCAGGCTAGAGTGCCATGCCATGGCGTGGTGTCAGTCTAGTTCATAGCAATCTGAAACTCTTGTACGCAACCCTCCTATCTCGGCCTCCCAGAGTACTAGGATTACAAGTGTGAGCCACCATGCCCTGCCCTAACTTGCAGTAATTTTTACCTCAGTTTCCATCCAAAGGTTTACCTTTAAGTGAAACTGCATTGCAAAAAACAAGGTCTCTGGGTACCTGTTTGACAAAGCATCAACTTGGTTAAGGGATTCTCCTACTGAATTACCATTTGCATCAATAATAGGATTCAGGGCAGGTCAAAACTCCCGTGCTGATCAGCAGTGGGATTGCACCTGTAAATAGCTACTGCACTCCAGCCTGGGCAACATAGCGAGACCCTGTCCCTAAAAAAAAGAAAAAAAGAAAAAAATTATAATTCTTAAAAAAAAAAATAAGATTCAAGACATTGTTTTTGGCTGCAGTCTTTGATCTGCCACTTGAGAAACCTAAAAATACTTAAGCTGGGAAGTCATCATCCTTAATCACAGTCTTCCTTAAAGATCCTGTAAAATGTATGTTCTGGCTCTGTCTTTCCAACAACAGTGAGGTTGTTCGAAAGCACGATAAAGCACCAAGGAGAAAATTCCTTGTCTTAGAAGTAATGACTGAAGTAGACTGACAATAGTAGTACTAGCACAGAGTAGTAGTTTCTACTCCGGATTTGAATGTCCACGAAAGCCTGTTTAGCTGTGGCCTGTCTCATCTCCACCATCCTCTTAAGAGTTGTTAGCTTTCCCAGTTTGGAAACTTCCCCCCAGGTCCTGGCCTCCCCCTGGCAGATGCCCAGTCTGAATCACTCCCAACCCCCACCCCAGCCGGGTCTCGGACGCGTCTTTGCCCTCGCAGTCCAAGTCCCAACCGCGCTCTAGAGGGAGCCCGCGGGCCGCACGCCCGCCGCAGATTCGTTTCTGTGAGGCTGCTGAAATCACCGACCTTGTTTCATCACCTGCAGGGCCGAAGGCCCTAGCCAATAGGGGTACCTCAGAAAACATGGCTCTGTGTGCCCTCTCGGTGATCAAGAGCACCACCCCACACACCCAACAGCCAGATACACCCGCCGCCCTCACAAGCGCGCCCGGGTGTGACTCAGCTGGGACCCTTCCTGCCTAGGAAAGGCTGGTTACTGGGCCCCTGGGGTTCCCCAGACAACCCAGTCCCGCCCGCCGCCAGCTCAGGCCTGGGCCGCCCGCCGTCCCACTGCCCCCTCCCGGTCCGGCTCCAGGCAAAACCCGGAGCGGCTACCTCTTGGCGGCTCCCGGGAGACGGCGCGGCGCGGCGGACTGGGCATGCGCAGTGCGCAGGGCCGGCTCGCTGCACAAGCAGGAAGCGTTCGCGGTGATCCTGGCGGCTGCGCTGGGGTATGCGGTACCGGCTAGCGTGGCTGCTGCATCCCGCACTGCCCAGCACCTTCCGTTCCGTCCTCGGCGCCCGCCTCCCGCCCCCGGAGCGCCTCTGTGGGTAAGCGGAGCGGAGCGCCCGGGCCCTCGGGGCCCGTAGGTCACGGTGGTTTGGCGCTCGGGTTGCAAAGTGGTGATTCAGCACTTAAAGCCGCCGCCGCTGTCGCCCCTCACGCCGCCGGTCCCGCCGGCCTGGGGCCCGGACGGCCGCGCTGAGGCCGCGCTAGCGCCGGGAAGCGCGGCTCGCCGGGCGGAAGCGAGGGTCCTGGCCCAGAGTGGGGGCGCCCTCGGCCGGTGAGGGCAGACGGGGGCCGTGACCCGGGGTCACCTGGCGTGTGCCACAAGTGCTAGGGGCGCGGGTCACCTCGGCCTGCTCCCGGGGGCCGCGCTGTGCCGCGCCACTGTCGGGGAGTCTGCCTGTGAGGGGCCGGGAGCCCGCCGCCGGCCCCCTTGCCACGGGGTGAAGGATTCGGGCGAGTCCTGGGAGAACGCTTCTCACCTTGCTCTCAGCCCTGTCCTTTCCTGTGGGCACTGAGCTTCCAGGACTGTGTGGAAATGCCCGCGTTGGGTATTGTAAAAGTTTGCCTGCCTCCGCTCGGTCGAGTAGATGAGTGTTGTGTTTCTTGTCGGGGGGCATTTGGGAGCCGAAAGATAACTTGGGATCCTCCACAGCAGTTCCCTTGTTTCACACCTGAGTCAGCTGAGGTTCAGAGAGATTGTGTGATTTCCCCACAGTTGCAGCGATTGTGGCAAAGCCAGGATTAGGACGCAGGTTTTTTGCCGTTCGGTGGCGTGCTCCCTCCACTTTACCGCTGCTCTGCGTACTCGTATACTAGAAATTTGTACGAATACGTATGCTAGTCTTGCAGTGAACGCTAAATACCGTTTACTGTGAATGCTGAAGAATTGGTAAAGATAGGCGGTGTGATCTTGCCCTACTTAGATAACATTATTTGAACCCCTCCTGGTTTTGGTCAATAATATCCAGGACCTGCTAAGTGCAGGGCACTGTGATAGACCCTTTGTATACGTATGTGGTCTGCCTTCCAAGGAACTTTGAGGAATGATAGAGTCAGCTAAAAGGGATGTGTTGAGGAGGGTCAGAAGATGGTCAGGAAGGGTGGTGTGTGCTTTAGGAGCACAGGTGGAGAAGCAGAAATAGAAGAGTGGGGCTAGGCTGGCCTTTGAAGGAATGGCAGAAGGGGTGGAGTGTGGCTACAACGTGGGCGTAATCTGGCCTAAGTGTGCGAGCAGTTTGTGATGGGGGACAGTGAGCAGATTAGTCTGGTTGGAGCTTTAGAGAATTTCTCTGGGGAATTATGAGGACACAAGGTCCTGTATTATAAGAGTAGGATAATGCTAGCCTGGGCCTTAAATTTTAGTTGGGATTTTTCCAGCGAATAGTAGATGGGGAGCCATTAAGAGTTTTTTAGCTAGGTAGGGGGATGATCTGATGAAACTGGTAGTTTAGAAAATTAGTTTGATGCTGTGTCCAGGATGTAAGGGAGTGGAGAGATACCTGAAGCAGAGAAATCTGTTGGGACTTAGTCTTTACTACCTATATTAGGGTGGTAGCAATAGTACTAAAATGGGCTAATGCAAATGAATTTGTGGAACTTGTTCTCCCTCCTCTATTTCCCACTACACCACAAAATCTGCTACAACAGGCAAAAGGATCCCTGAACTTAGAAAGGTCAGGGTGATGAGCATAGGCAGGATTCCTCCTTTTGCTCTCTTTTGGCTCAGACCATTTTTGTTCATTGATAGGTTAGACTTGTCCCCCACGTACAGAATTTTTGATTTTTAAAGAAAGCATCAGTTTTAATAGTTTAATACAACTAAGTGGTTTGTATGTTTTAATTACAGTTAGATTTTCTCTGTGTACCCCACTCCCTCCAGCTATTCACTGTGATGAAGTCCAAGGTGTAGGTTGACCAACAAGAGTTTCAAGATAAGGTTCTCCGAGAGGGAAGCCCTGGGGGATTCAGAGCATAATGAATGAGATAACCTCAATCATCTAGAATGCTCTACCCTAAAACTGTTAAGGAAAAGACAGGTCCAACTCAAGTGATCAGGGCATTGTTTTAGGAGGGAAAGTACTCACATCTGAAGCTACCACGTATTCAGATCTTAAGGAAGGTAATCAATCCTGTGTATAGTAGGAAGAATGTGTTCACAGAGATGGCCACACTTTCCTCATGCTACTGTCTTGCTTAGATGCCACCAATGGTTCTGATCAAGTCCAAACTTCTTGACCCAGCATTTAAACATCCTGTTGGCAGGCCCTAGTCTAACTTTTCAACCTGCCTGTCCTCTTCTCCAGTCAGACTTACCAGTATAAGGTCTCCTGTACATGACCTATTCATTCCCCACTTTGGAATGCCTTTTTTCTCTTTTCTTTCCTTTGTATGACTAAATTCATCCTTCTCTTTAGACTTTGTTTTACAAAGGTCAAACAGACTTGTTTTACAGGTCAAACAGTTATTCTTCCCTTTTCTGAACTTAATAATTTTGAAACATCTATTTGATATTTAACCATATACTACCTCTTATTTTTTTTCCTTTTTTATATTTTTCAATTTTTCAGTTTTTTTTTTTTTTTTTTTGAGACATGGTCTTGTGCTGTCGCCTGGGCTAGAGTGCAGTGGCACGTTTATAGCTCACTTCAGCCTCATACTCCTGGGCTCAAGTGATCCTCCTCCCTCAGCCTCCCAAGTAGCTGGGACTACGGGTTGTGAACTGCCACCACACCTGGCTAATTTTTCTATTTTTTGTAGAGATGGGTTCTCACTCTTGCTCAGGTTGGAATTTTTTGTTAAATTTTAAAAAGTTCTTTTTTTTCTTTTACTTTCTTTTTAATCTTTTTTCTCTCATCTTTATTTCTCTAATCCCACAGTTCTCATGCAATCACATTGCTTTCAGTGCTATCTATATATAGTTGTCCAACATGGAGTCACAAGCCACATGTGCCTATTTAAATTAAATTAACTGAAATTAACAATTCACTTCCTCAGTTGCCCTAGCCACATTTCAGTCTACATGTAGCTAGGGGCTACCATATGAGGCAGTGCAGATTTGAACATAACTGCCATCACGGAAATTCTGTAAGATAGGCACAATCTGTATTTTGACAACTCCCAAATGTATGTCTCTAGCCAGAACCTCTCTCCTTAATTTCAGACTTAGGTAGTAAACTTCCCACTCAACATTTTCCCTTAGATGTTAGTAAACTAATCATGCCCAAAGTATACCTCAAGATCTTCTCCAAAACCACCACCTTCCTCATGTTCATCCCATTTCAGTTAATGTCTGTCTCTTCTATTTGTTTAAGCTAATAACTTCGAGTCATCTTTGACTTCTTTCTTGTTCTTAGATCCCTCATGCAGGTAGCATGTAGATCCAGATTCTGACCACTTTTCACTATCTCCACTGTCACTGCCGTGGTCCATATTACTCACTTATACACAGATTAATATAATAGCCTCTTAACCAGTTTCTTTGCTTCTGCACTTGCCTCTCTACATATAATCTGTTCTTGTCGCCACTGGCAGCATGATTTTTTTGAAATTCAAGTCATGTCACTTCTTTACTACGTAATGCTTAAAACTTTGCAGCTGATCCCCATTTTGCTCAGATTTAAAGACAAAGTCCTGACAGTGGCCAGAAAGGCCCTGTGAGATCTGGCCTCTCTCCACCTCTCTGATCTTGTTTCCAAAATAATCACTCACTCCACTCCAGTTACACTGGTCTCCTTGCTTGACTCACTCTTGCCTCAGATCATTGGCACTGTTCTCTTTCTGCTCAGAATACTGTTCTAGCAGTGAGATCAGGAAGAGCTTCACAGAGAACATAGGATTTGAGAAAGTGTTTTTGAAGGAAATAAAAATTTGGATGAACAGCGAAGGGGAGTGGAGAGAATAATTTAGACAGAAGAAGTAGTATGAGCAAAGGTTCAGAAGTAGGAAAATTCACTATATAATCAAAGGGCAGTAAGATTTTATCCTATAGAAAGTAGAGCGCCTCAGATACTTTTTGAGCAATAGAATGACATATGAAAGCTTTGTTTTTGGACAACTAATCTGGCTGGTTTTGGAAGCACAGTTTGAAATGCAGGCAGAGATTGATGCAGGACAAAATGTACTACAAATGACAAGGAAAGGAGAGTGTCTGCAGGAGACATGGGAAAGATTCACCTGGCTTTAGTTACTGATTGAGTGGGATGGAATGGAGGAGTCAAAGAAGCCTAGGTAAGGTCTTGCGCCTGAGTGACTTCGAGATTACTGCTGAGGTGACCCTAAACTAGGAGGGGCCACCAGGATAGGAAAGACTCTTGTGGGGAGATTCAGCTGCAGGCTGTAAGAAGTTCAGCCAGTTGAGATGTTTGTCCTGCCCAGCAGGTGGCTGGTTTTCCAAAGGCATGCCAAGAGAACAGGTTGGTTGGGTACAGTGGTGGGGCACAGTGGCACAATCTTGTAGGCACTTTAGGGCTGGATGTTATTCTCAGGAAGCCATCCAACTTCCTGAGGATAGAGGACAGGACTGAGCAGTCCTAAGCGTCCTGAAAGGAATGAAAATGATGATCTATTTGTAGGTTGGTAGCTCAGGGGAAGAGTTCAGTTAAAGTATCAGAACCAGGTTGATGAATACTGAGCTGCTACTAGGGTTTTTAAAAATTTTTCTCTGCTTAATGATAGGAAGTGGATCCAGAGCCTAGAACAAGATTGACTTGTGGTGGAATCTAAGTAGATTCAGCTGTAAGGCTCTCACTGCTGCTGATAATATTAACTATAAAAGGTTTAGTACAGGGGTGGGGAACCTTTTCATGTTGGAAGGGTGCATTAATTTAGCTGTAATTAAATAAGGCCACATTCCAGCAACTTCAATTAGATATACTTAAAAATGTTCATTATTTTGTAAAAATCTAACTATTATGTACTTAATAATTTCAAAAAATGAAAACAATTTGTGAATTTTAAAGTTAGTCAACTTTGTTGTGTCTGCTTTTTGTTGGAAAGTATTTGAATATTTGGTTGCAGCATGGAGGTCCAGCCGTTTCAGTTG